AAAAAAAAAAGAATTATCGATTACAATTTTTTCTATTTATATGTTAAGTTGGGGAATATGGTACCGGGAAAAAAATTTCTGACACCGTGCTGGGAGATACGATAATTTGTGAAATTTTACCTCAGAACTTGTAAACTTGAATGATAAAGTTGCAAAAGTTAAAATAAACTTATGAATTTGAAGGAATACGATGAATTGTTCAAGTTTGCGAGTCTATACGTAAAATTCACAAGTTATTGCATTCCTTCAAAATTCACAAATTTATCGTAACTTTTGCAACTTTATCGTTCAAGTTTGTAAGTTTTAATGTAAAATTTCACAAATTATAGTATCTCTTGGCACGGTGCCGGAAATTTTTCTCCCGATGCCATAAAAGGACCTGTTAAGTTGTTATTACGTGGATTAATCATATTATATCCTATAGTTTATGGACTTTATCGAATCATTTTTACATCGAAATCTAAATTTTATTTTGGCATCATTTTCATATATATATATATATATATATTTCGGCATCATTCATTTTAATTTTTTCCTTTTCACGTCATTCTCATTCTGCTATTTGTGTCACTAGCCTTTCTTAAATTTCTCTTTTCTTCTATAGCTATTTCTTAGTAAGTCATCACTTCACAAGAAAACTCACTAATAAAGAATGACAATCTACTTATCGTTTTTAGTTGAGGTAAATTAATTTTCTTTCAAGTTATTTATGAAATGTACTTTTAGTTGAGAAAAATAAATAAATAGATTATCTTTGAATCACTACATATTAGGAGTGGGGCTTGTATTTGCAAACTCTATCAGTTCAGAGTTTGAGATTATGGGCTATACCGCTATAAGAGTATGAGAAATTGTTGAACTTATCCTTAGAGTGCATGAGTCTAAATTTTTACTCTTATTTTGATTAATACCTTTTTAATGAGTATAATTATTTGACTAAAAAGATATTATTTGAGAATAAGGAATAAAAATTTAAATCCATACATTCTAAGAGATATTTGTGTCCTTTTCCCGGAGTAGGAGGGAGTAAATTTTCTACATGGAAGAAAAAGGCAGCATAAGAAACATTAACATTCTTGGTGCATTCTTTAGATTACACTGTTTTTTACATACAGAGCAAGTGTCTTTTTTACAAGGAAAGAAAATAGGAAGGAAAACATAACATTCTTTGTGCATTCCTTACTGCTCCTCTCCTTGTTGATGACAGACCTCAAAGCCCCTCGTTTGTTTTTCATTTAAACTTAAAACATATATAAAAGATAAACATACATACATAAGGTGAAATTGAAAAATCAGGTAATAGATACACCACTGATGTTCCGAATGATGGTGCTGGAAATTCTACATTATACCAACAAGTTTCTGAGTAGATATGAAGTTGCTCGCCACCCAGATTGTACTCACTTTTCTCTTTCTTTGTGACAAAATTCGAATCTTTCACCAACAGACTAAGGGAGAGGACTTGAAATGAAATCAAGATTCAAGTATATTTTGACTATTAGGAATTAGAACTGCATTCCTGATTTAGTAAGTATTAGAAATAATAATTGCATTCCTGATTTAGTAAGTAAACATACAAATTTATCGGAGGAAAGGGAAATGCTCTTTTATTCTCTTTCAATGCTCATAATTTCATGTAGTTTCCAACAAGTACAAAAGCACGTGAATTAATCCACAAACAAGGATACATAAACTTATTTATTTACAAGTATTTTACACAACCAACATCAGGAACATTTCCTTTCCATTTTGTTTCCACGTTTTCATTGGAAGTTCCCAGAACTTCGGGAATCAAGTGGGGTTCTAGTGAAAGGACTGCTTTTCATGAATCATATGAAGAAACATACAACAGGAATGATTTCACTTACCTCCCAGCAGTTCAAAAGGCATATCAGATACTAGAAGAGCCTTTTGAGTAAGAAAAGACCCGATTGCTTAACTTGAAATCCGAAGGGAAATCGTGTTCACTTTTAATGCAACCATTCTTCACTTCATCATAGACTATATCATAGTCTGAGCTGCTTATATTTCTGAAGTAGCAGTATTTTCCATCTTCATAATTGTACACTTGTTGTGTACTCCCTAATGCACCAACTATATAGTTGTTCTGTATAAACAAATAACCCAAACCGTTCTGCAAGTTTTTCAGCGAGCTCTTCAACAATTCGCTACCAGCAACTTTAGAACATCTGTTCTCATCAAATCCCAATGTGAGATTTGTGATGAACACATAACGCCCATTTCCTTGATCAAAGTAGTCAGAGTACAAGAAAAGTGGAAAATTTTTCTCTGACTTGATTGAGTAAACATCTAATAGCGGCGTCTTGGCATAAACCGTGTCATTGATATGAATGTTCTGAACCACTATCTGCGTATTACCCTCGTTCTCCATCACAAGCGAATTGGTGTAAGAGAATTCTTGAACCGAATGGGTTATAAAATTCCCAAAGGAAGACTTGACCCATCCAATGGACAACACCCTTCTGTTTGCAGTAGTCAAAAACTTCCCATTCAGACCTTTGAAATCCGAGGCTTCGGAGAGAACAAGAGGCGAGCTGATGTGCTTCAAAAGCAACCCTTCAGTCTTGAGGCTGTGCTTGTCCAACCAAAGATGCAGATTTGCATCAACAAACCAAACCTTCAACGCATTTGTGACATTAAACCCGAACTTATGAAACTTCCCATCTAGGATCTTACCCAAAAACGGGGTGATCTCGATGTTGTAAGACGGGAGATTAAACGAGCCAATTCCAGAAATTGGTCTCCACAAGAGTGGATTCATTCCTCCAGTATAAATCACAGTAAAAGGCCATACTGCACCAACAACCTCACCATCAAGACTAACCACAACTTCCCTAAAAGGCCCATTCCCAGGAGTATCGCTAATCCCATTTTCAGCAATGTAATCATTAGGAAGATTTGAGTACCAAAACTCATCATTCTCATGAAAGGAAACATAAACCTCAAGAACAGCCCTATAAGCATTCCTAGGAATCTCAAACTCCTTAAGCTGAATATCCACCGAATTCTTAACTTCAAACCACAACCCACCATTCAGAGGAGGATTTCTCGAAATGGGCAAGACCAAATCAGCCCAAGAATGATGATTAAGGTTATTTTCTTCAGCGGGGTAATAATGTAAGCTCAAATTCACATGGTAAACACCAGTATAAGTAGAATCCACAACATTCCCAAGATAAACGGCAAACGTTTGGGTTTGATTCTTCATGAGAAGAGAGTAATACCTTGTTACATCCTTCTCAACACTCCAGACAATCCCAGAAGAAGTGGGCTCCGCCGTGCAGCTCCGAAGAAGCTCGACCCCGCCGAGCCAAACCCCGAAAATCCGGTCGAACTGGGTCCCTCTGCAAGTGGCTCTCCATTCGAGGACGATTTTGGAGAAATGGGTTGGTGGGCAATGGGGAGGTGGGCCATGGTAGTTGGCCTGGACCGGAGGCTGGCCATAAGTGAAGGCGAAGTCGTAGGTGAGGACGAGGTGAGAACAAGGTTTGGTGTTGGGGAGTTTGATGGGTTTGGTGACTTCGAAGAATTGTGTTGGTGGATTTTCTGTGGTTTTCAAGTGGCTGAGTTGGGAGAGTAGGTTTGGTTTGAGATTGTTGAGTTTGTGTGTATTCGATGTGGAAAATTGGGGTTGGTGGAGGAGGAGGAGGAGAGAGAGGAAGGGAATGGAGAGTGAGGAAGCCATGGAAGAAGGTTTTCAGGTTTGTGAAGGTGGGAAGTAGAGATTTTTTATTTTGTCATTAGAGTGAAGAGCAACAATGCCGAGGAGAGAGAGGAAGGGAATGGAGAGTGAGGAAGCCATGGAAGAAGGTTTTCAGGTTTGTGAAGGTGGGGAAGTAGAGATTTTTTATTTTGTCATTAGAGTGAAGAGCAACAATGCCCGGGCTCATATGTGATCTGTCGAAAAAGTTTGACAGATTTTTTTTTTTTCCCTTTTGTTTTTCTTTTTTCTTTTTCACTGAGAACTAGAAGTGGTTGACATAGATCAAAGGAAGGCAACGAGGTTTTACTTTTTGTCCGAGTAACGACAAGTCCATTGCCGCTTAGCAATTGTCTGAAACATAGTAGTGTCTATTTTTACATCATTTTGTTGCACCTTGTCGTCGATTTATATGCTTGTTTTGTTTCTGTGTTATATAAATATATATATATATTATTGATATTGTGATCAAGAGTAATTGCCATTATTTTCAAACTACAATTCACCACTCTTTTTAGTTTGAGATTTTTATGGCATGGTATGAAAATAAAGAATACTCAAACTTTATATTAAACAGTAAGATCTACTATCAGTTTTACATATTTTTCTCATTCAAAATTTGACTGAATCTATCCTTAAAAACATGGACTACTAGTTAAATAACCCTACCATAGAAAAGGTTTGCCATTTTATTTTTGGCAAATGGAGTTGAAACTTTTGCAATTGAAGGATACACAAATTACAAGCTTTAAACTATACTTGAACTACACTAGTGTAGAATTGTTAATGCTTGGAAGAAAAGAATATAAGGACTACGATAGAAGTCGACATAATAGTAAAATAAAGCAACTAGGAGACATGATGTTAAGTATTAGGAATCAAATGTAAGCAAATTCAATGTTAAAAGATAGATATTCCTAATTGTTGTACCTAAAACAAAAAATATATATATTAGGGATAATTTATATTTTTATACCATGTGTTTTAGATTTATTCAAAATCTATACTTTCAATTTTTAATCTCATCAAATGTATACCTTCAAATTAGATTTAATACACAAATCCATGTCTTATCTCGGTCAACAATTAATTTTGACCTTTAAAATGACTAAAC